GAGGGAAGGCTGGCCTGAAAAGAGAGGTCTTGGGCTGCTTGGGGAAGGACAGCAAAGATGGGGTCCGGCTGGCCTCCAGTGGCACGGAGTTCCACAGTCTCGGGGAGCCTATGACCGGTGTACGGTGTACAGGAGGGCCACGGCCTGTGGTGTACCACGTCGTGGTGATGAGTGAGACTCTATAGGGATGTTGTACAGTACAACCTTCCCAGTTTTGGCAAGAATTCATGACTATAGTTGTATCTTACTGTATTTGAAAGCTGTTGGGAAGTGCATTTCACTTTATGGGCTGTCATGTAGCCTTAAGGGGAATTCTCCCCCCACCCCGTGCCTCCTGGGGTAAAAAAAGCCAGCCTGGGTAACCTTGGGCAAGCTGCACTGTCCCAGGGCTCCCCCTAGAGGAAGGGAATAGGAAACCATTTCTGACCATAAGTCGGAATGGACCTGATGGGAATGCATTTATGAATTATGAATACTGGAGGATATGTATGGTGTAGCAAATAAAGGGACAGACTAGGAGGACTCTGAAGACCCGAGTTCGAATCCCTGCATAGCCATGGACACTGTTGAAAGCACTCCTTAAATATCTCCATTACCTCGAATGCCCTGTTAGGATTGTTGCCAGCCAATACCAACTTGATCGCACATCACACGCGCGGATGAGTATCCGGCATGTACTTTCTTTCCCTCAGGGATAAGGTTACCCCCACCCCGCCCCTCTTGAACCTTGTGTGGCAAGGCACCGTGGTGTGTGAATTGCTGCCGGGATGAAATTTCAGCTCTCCGGCTCAAATGGTCAGGCACTTTGAACAAAGACCGAGAGGCTCCCAGGTTGGGCAGGTGACGGGACCGGCCGCAAAGCCACGTTGTGCGTCTGAAATGCGTGGCCCTCAGAGGTGTGAGAAAGAGGGCGGATTCTTCCTCATCTCAAGTTTGATCCTCATGCGACTTGGATGCAGGCTTCCTTGTGTCTACTTTCCCCTGGAAATTATTTGTTCCTTTTAGCAATTAAATGTGATTATCTTGCTTGAAGATCGTGAGTGCCCTCCCTAGCCAGTAGCTCTGTCAATGGGGTGCAGTATCTTGGATTTCTTCTTCCCCCCCTCCAGTCACTAGACATTAGGGTTGTTTTATTTTTCTGGCCTGATTTTAGTCGGCCTGTTTTCTCTGGTGGCAGTTTTTTTTTTTTTTTTAAAGTGGTCTCTACCTGGAAAAGTCCGGCCATAAGCCAGGATCAACTTGACAGCACACAATAAATGTTACCCACAAATGAGACTTAACCCCTTTGCAGTCTTGTCTTGGTTGTGCAGCTTTGGCACCCTGTGGACCCGACCCATTAAGCTCTTCATCCCTCACCCCGCAAGTGTCTCCTTTCACACCTGGAGAAGCCGGCAGGTTACCCGATCCTGTTAACTAATCCTGAGAAGGAAAGTTTATGCCGAGTGCCCTTCTCAGGGCACTGACCTTGACCTGGTTTGAGAGACTTCCTGCCTCGCTGAACGTTTCTCGCTGAGGGCGCCAGGCCAGCGTTGACCAGCTTGGACCCGCTCGCCCTCCTGCATCCGTAGAGCCCCAAGATCTTTCATCAAACGCTGCAGCCAGAACGGCGGAGACCTCACTGGGGAGGTCCATACCCCACCCCAAACCCTCAGCAGCATCTTTCCACGTTCAGCAGGGAAGTGCACTGGTCAGAAAAAAACGGATTGGTCAGAGGTGACGGGACCGGCCGCAAACCACATTGTGCGTCTGAAATGCGTGGCCCTCAGAGGTGTGAGAAAGAGGGCGGATTCTTCCTCGTCTCAAGTTTGATCCTCATGCGACTCAGATGCAGGCTTCCTTGTTCATTTCCCCCCCCCCCACTTGAGCCTCTTGGAAGCAGAGCCAGCCTGGGTGGCCTTGGGCAAGCTGCTCCATCCCAGGGCTCCCCCGGAAGAAGGGAAGGGGGAAACCTGAGTGGTCTCTACCTGGAAAAGTTCGGCCATAAGCCAGGATCAACTTGACAGCACACAATAAATGTTACCCACAAAAGAGACTTAACCCCTTCCCAGTCTTGTCTTGGTTGTGCAGCTTTGGCACCCTGTGGACCCGACCCATTAAGCTCTTCATCCCTCACCCCGCAAGTGTCTCCTTTCACACCTGGAGAAGCCGGCAGGTTACCCGATCCTGTTAACTAATCCTGAGAAGGAAAGTTTATGCCGAGTGCCCTTCTCAGGGCACTGACCTTGACCTGGTTTGAGAGACTTCCTGCCTCGCTGAACGTTTCTCGCTGAGGGCGCCAGGCCAGCGTTGACCAGCTTGGACCCGCTCGCCCTCCTGCATCCGTAGAGCCCCAAGATCTTTCATCAAACGCTGCAGCCAGAACGGCGGAGACCTCACTGGGGAGGTCCATACCCCACCCCAAACCCTCAGCAGCATCTTTCCACGTTCAGCAGGGAAGTGCACTGGTCAGAAAAAAACGGATTGGTCAGGGTTTCCCCATCAGCTGATGACTCTCGAGGTCCTGCTTCAGATTTCCGTGCTGGTCATGGCGAGGCGATCTGCAGAAGTGGAGGAAAGACTTTCTAGGTTGTGCTTTTATCTCCCGCCACCCGTTTAGGAATAAGGCCTGAACATGGTGATTCTGTTAGGAAGACATTGTTCGAAAGGGGGCACGGTGGGAGGAACGCGTTCGGCTTCCTGCCTTGGTCTCCCCATTGTTGACTCAGAAGAAGGGGATTTGAGGGTATAAATCAGTGCAAGGGGGGACAAGCTCTTTAAAGGACAGCATCTCCCTCTGTCAGCCTGCTTGGGTGTTAAGATCATCAGGGGAGGCCTTGTTCTTCGTCCTGTTACAGGCCATTTCTGGGTTCAGGTTTCCAGCGAGGACAACAGGCTAAGACACAAGGCAGCCGATCCGTAAGCCAATTTTATTAGAGACGCGAGGCAGCCGATCCGTAAGCCAATTTTATTATTAAAGTCAAAAAGGAACAGCTGGGTCTCTGTGAAAAACAGAGAAGACCATTTGGAGAGGCATGTACATACATTTTATGAAAAACATTTGGAGAGGCATGTACATACATTTTATAAGGATACAAGCAAAGAGCCATACATTTCTATTGATCATCTGTACCCCCAACTTTTGGATCCTGGCCCTGATTTGGACCTCAGTCTCCTCTTTTCAGTTGACCCATTGGTTAGAAGAAAATATACATTTTCTGCCTTGACCTCATCTCCAGGGGATGCTCCCTGCAGTCTGGGGGTAATGACAACTATCCTGTTTTCTTAATGATATGTTTATATGCGTTGGTAATGTTTCTTCCTGAGATCTCTGCCCTGTCCTTCAAAGAGGGCAATTCAAGAGTATTCTGTTATCTCTGGCCTTCCTGCCCTTTTTCATTCCAATGGCCTAGCCATCTGGCCATACTTTACCTAAATGCCAACTCCTGGTATAGGATAAAAGGTCTCATTGTTTATTTAGATGGCCCAATGGATGGGCCATAAACTCCCATCAGGTATGGCTTGTCTATTTGGGGCCTGGTTGGCCTCTGCTGTTCCCGGGTCTGAGGGGCAGGATCAGAATACTGTACCATTGGGAGAATGTATAAAATGTACAGCATTAAGGAAGTATAAGGTACAATAAAAAAATAAGATTCTAAAATACAATTGAGATAAAGTGTATAAAACCATAACTGGTACAGTACATCAAGAACGTTGGTGGCATAGATACAGTAGAGATACAATATTGTTACAGTTGCATTGTGAACAAGATGTTAGTACATAAAGAGGTTACAGTTGCATTGTGAACAAGATGTTGGTACATAAAAGAAATCCTCAAGCTTTATTGATACAGTTAGTAGTAATAACTCTGTTAAAATGCAGTATCATTATCCTCCCCTATCAGTCCCATCACCTTCACCAGGTGTGTCTTTGGTGGGGGGGACACACTGGAGAGGCCTTCTTGGTGGCTGTTCCTTTAGACTCTGGAACTCCCTCCTACTGGAGGCCAGTCTGGTCCCATCTTGGCGGTCCTTCCTCAAGCAGCCAAAGACTCTTTGGGCAGAGTTTCCCTCAGTGACCGGCTGCCTGGGGGGTGGGGGGTTTAAAGGATTTTTATGCTTCATTTCGACCCTGCTGTCATTTACCATTTCTCCATCTGTTTGAGCTCCTTTAGTATTTGTAAACTCTTGTTTCCAGCGAGAAATATTGTCTTTTAATGATGTCAGCCGCCTGGGCTCCTTTTTCCAAAGGAGAACGTTGGGGTAAGGTAAAGGTAAAGGTTCCCCTTGACAAATTTTGCTCATCCCTGTTTCCAAGCCATAGAGCCAGTGTTTTGTCCGAAGACAATCTTCCGTGGTCACATGGCCAGTGCGACTTAGACACGGAACGCTGTTACCTTCCCACCGAGGTGGTCCCTATTGATCTACTTGCATTTGCAAATGCATTGCAACGTTGGGGTAAAAGATGTTAAATTCATGCCTCCGAAGCAGGAACTTTGAACAGAAGGCAGGGGGGTGTCGCCTTTTCTGCAGGCTGCCTCTATGGAGCCTGCCGTTCCCTTTAACATCTGGAATGGTATGCACAGCTTCCGCCAACCTGCCCCAATCTTCCCCGTATCTCTGCAGATACGGAGGCTGTGGCAATTCTGGGTCCGGTGGCCTGAAAAGGGATCCCCAACTGCAGGCAGGAGGTGGGTGCCCTCTTCTAGGCGATGTGGAGCTTGCCAGAGCGAGGGGGGGTCTGTCCGCCCTGGGGAACAGAGGAGGAAAAGGGGACACACACACAGAGGGATTCCCCCACCAGTAAGTTTCGGGAAGTCCTCTCGCCTCCAGGGCCCCTTCTTTGCCACGATCCCTCCTCCAACTTGTGAGGAAGAGGCGCTGGGACCTGTGTGTGTGTGTATGTGTGTCTCTCTCTGTCCAGGCAGTTCCTCCTTTTTCCCTGCACAGCTGAGCCAGTTTGCTTTCCCCTGGCCCCACCTCTCGGCTTGAAATGAGATGCTGGGCAAAGAGGCGAGGCAGCCGGGAATTGAAAGCGAAACCTATTGGAGCGCGGTCTTCAGGGCATTGAGCTGATCCTGCTTGCTCCCTGCCCTGCCAGGGAAGAAGGGGACCCAGCCTGGTGCGGCTTCCGTTCTTCCTTTGCAGCGGCCTCTCCTCTCTTTTCCCTTCCCTGTCACCCCCTTTTCTTCCCACCCAAGACCTGGCCTTTTAAAGCGGTGTGCCCCCCCCTCTTTTGTTTCTTGCTCTCCCGATGCAATGCCCGGTCCTTACCGGTGGCCCCAGGAGACAACAGGAGGTAAGAAAGACCCATCCATTCTCTCTTCTCCTCCCCCCCCCCGTCTGATTCACCCCTTTCCTCCTCTTCTGCCCCTTCCAATAGCAACCTCCTCCTTTGAAAGCGGGTGTCGCTTCCAGCCCCCTTTGAATCCCCTCTGCTCCCTCTTAAGCCTTGGGGTGCCTTTGAGTTTTGGTGTTATTTTGTCCAACTAGGGAGAAGAGCATAGCTTTCTGTCTGTACAGCTATACATCTATCTATACCGGCAACCTAGGTTTAGGCTAACTTCAAAAATCCCAGGTGGAATTCCAAGAGGAATTTTGGAGTGTGTGTGAAGAGCAGAAGACCCTTACATTTTTTTGTTGTTGTTGTTTTTATGGCTTGACAAGCGAATACATTAATGCAGTGGTTCCCAACCATAGATCTCCAGATGGGCTCAGACTCCCAGAAGCCTTTACCACCAGATGTCCTGGCCAGGATTTCTGGGAGTTGCAGTCCAAGAACATCTGGGGACCCCAGGTTTGGGAATCACTCCCTTAACATTTAAGGGTCTCACGGGGACCCTTCAGTGTTGTGTGTGTTCACTGCAACAAGTTGTTGCTGCCGTTCCAGGGCGCACTCGCTTGTGAACGAGCCTCACCATTCAGCCTCCAGATAGATCCTGGAGAAGCGTGCGTTGTAATGCATCTGCAGCTCCGTGGTCTGGAACTGGCCTTAGCATTAAGGGGAACAGCCGTGGGAGTCGTTACAAGTTCAGTTTGGCGTATGAGAAGCAGGATGGAGAAAAACCAATTATTAAAAACAAAACTCAACTGGCTTTAAATCACAATTTAATTTTTTGGTCAGATTTGAAGGAAAAATTAAAAGAGTAAAAAAGAAAATCCCATGTTTTACTTAAATCATGATTTAGAGCTACTTTATTTAAATCAGATCCACTCTCGTGAGAGAGAGAGAGAGAGAGAGAGAGAGAGAGAAAGAGAGAGTCTTGCCCAGGAAGGAGATGAGAAATCTGAGCCGTTGGAGGGCTGTTTCATTTCTTCCCTTGATTGCCCAGGGAAAATTAGAATCTGGGGTAAACATACCTGTTGGCCCGAAGCCGTTTTGTGCTTGTGCAAGAAGGCAGGCCCTGTTAACTCTTTGCCGTCTGTAAGGGGACAGGCTGTTACCACCACTCCCCCAGCCTTGTCTTGCAGAGCTGGATGGGGATGATTTCTTAAGTGGCGCCTTCTGGACTCCACTTGCCGTGTAACCTGAGGTCTGAAACGTCTACCCTTCTTCTCTTCTTTTTGCCAGGCCTCTGCGCAGCAGCCGCCCCCGTGAGAGTGAACCACGGCCACCTCTCGTCCGGTGCATGCGCGCGCCCTCCCGCCCTTGTGTTCCAGCTGCGCGCTATGAGCAGAGGCGCTGGCCGAGGCAGAGGTTCAGAGCAGGCGCCCCCGAGACCTAGCGGCTTCTCTAACCCCGTTTTCTTTAACGCTCCTCTTCTCCCGCAGGGAGGCAGCGTGGACGATTTCCACCAGCGCCAGGTTGTCTTCCTCGAAGGGCGCCTTCCGGAAGCTCCCCTTTTGCCTTCCCAGAGGCAGAGACCCCACGCGCCCCAGAGCTACTGCCGAGGTCTGAGACCTTCCGCCCCGCCTAGAAGACCTCCTCCTCAGTGTAACCATTCCGGGCAGGAACAGAAACCCTCCTTTCGTCCCCAGCCGCAGTGCGGTGGCCAAACCGCGAGGAGCAACGGCAGGGTCGACGGACTCGCCTCGGACTTCCAGGGGCTGAAGCTCACCCACGAAGGGCTTGAGCAAAGGCTGCTGCAGGTTTTGAGGGAGTTCCTGCCGGGAGAGACCGAATCGGCCCGCTGGCTTGCCCGCAGGCTCGGCGTCCCGAAGAAGGAGGTCAACCGTCACCTCTACCAACTCTGCCGACAGGGACAGGTGTGCCGAATCGGGGAGACCCCTCCCTTGTGGAGGCTGGCGGAAAGTCCGAGGGCTCAGGGCGTGACGGAAGGAGGGGCCGCTCCCCGCCGGAGGGACTGGTATCGGCTACCACCGGCTGCCGGCCTCGCAGGAGGAGAAGAGGAGAGCTCGGCCTCCGATTCGGAGGGCTGCCCGGATTCTGCCGCCATGGCCGAGGTGAAGGAGCAGATCTGTAGCTTCTTGTTCGGCGTGGCCAACTCCACGGCACGCAACCTGGCCAGGAACATCGGCCTCTCCAAAGCCCAGGAGGTCAACGCCACCCTGTTGGACCTGGAGAAGTTAGGGGAGGTGCGCAGGGAGAACGCCAACCCCCCCAAGTGGTCCCTCACCGACAACAAGCGGAAGCAGATGCAGCACAAGGTGAAAGCCGAGGTGGTCAGCGAAATGGGCCCTCCGGCGCCCGACCCGGGTCCGGAGCCTCTGACTCCCACAGTAGAACCGGAGCTGCCCGCCAGCGTGACGACGCCTCCCTTCCCACCGGCTTCTCCACCTGCGCCACCTCCCATGCTGCTAGAAGGGGGGGAGGAAGAGGAGGAGGAGGAGGAAGAAGAAGATGACGAAGAGGAGGAGGAAGAGAAAGTTGAGAACGGGAGGCAGCTGTTCCAGCAGCCGGGTGACGGTTATTTTCGCCGGCGAGGACCCCCCCGCAAACGGGCCCGGTACCACTGGTTCCCCAGTTACGACAACTTTGAGAACGGCAAGTGGGCCACGGACGACATCCCGGAGAGCCTGAACGCCATCAACAACCAGGACGAGTCCTCCCGGTGCATCATGGAGTCCCCGCTCTCCCCCAGCTACGCGGCCCAGTTCGACACCGCGTTCTCCTGCACCCCCTTGGAGAAGCTCATGGCCTGTCAGAAGAAGAACCCAGTCAGCGGCTTGATCGAGTACACCCAGTACATGTACCAGCACTGCGAGTTCGTGTTGTTGAAGCAGAGCGGACCCTCGCACGAGCCCCGGTAAGAGAGCGCTTCGAGGGGGAGGAGGAGGGGATCGGTTCGCTTACGTTACTAGACCTCGGGCACCGCTGGCAGAACAGTTTGCTACCAGGAGCAGGAGATTCAGGGAGGAAAGTGTATTCCTTGTCAGGGTTTATATCAGCATCGTGTGCGGTCCAGCCGATTCCAACTTATGGCTCCCCTTTCCAGGTAGAGTAGACTCAGAAGTGTGTTACCCTTCCCTTCCTCTAGGGGGAGCCCTGGGACGGTGCAGCTGGCCCAAGGCCACCCAGGCTGGCTCTTCTCCCCTGAGTGGGGGGATTCGAACTCCCAACCGCTGGCTCCGCAACCAGAGACCTAACCTCCCCCCCCCAGCTGTCCAGCTTGAAAGCAAGCCAGTGTTACGATGCAATTGGGAAACGAGGAAGAGAAGCCCATTGCTTTCTGTGTTTACAGCTCGTTGCATCATCCTGAGACACGCTCATCGGTGCGGCTATTTGTGAGTCACGCTGTCTGTGTGCGGACGGTGCCACTGGATCTTCTCCGAAACTATCCCTGTGTTTTAAGCTCCTTCCAGTCGGTTTTCTGTTACCCCCTTCCCTGTAACAGGAACCGACCTTTTCCATGGCTGGGATTAAATATGGAGAGGGCAGCGGACACCCACTGTTATCTCCCTTTTCCAGTCCAAAATAGATCCCACCCCCCATCTCCCCAGGTCTGAACAGCAGTGGGTGGGCATAAGATATTTATATGCCTTGCATTTATATCCATAACATGGGCCGGTTTATAAAGGTTTCGAAATACTTCCCTGAAAACAGTACACGAAGCTGTGGAAAAGCTTTGGAAATGCCAGTATCAGCCACTATCGTTCTCCAGATCCATGGATGAGCTCGTGTAAAATGGAAGCCAGTTTTGAGTTTAAAATTTCCGAATTTGAAGTCTCCAGCAGCGACTGGTTTTCTGCTTCGAAACGTGTCATGAACCCCGTAGAAATAGGGATTATCGTGAGAGTAAATTCCTCCTTCAAGGCCCTTTGAAGTCAAAGGCTTGGACCAGCTCTGGGGGAGGTACGAGAAGGGAATAAAAATCCATTTTCTGTACTATTGATTCTTCTTAATAGCTGCTCATTAAGCCTGCCCTCCTGGTGGCTAGGCAGGGACTGCCAAAGACGTGGGGTTGGGGGGGGGAATCAATTAAGAGCGGGTGAATCGGAGAGGGAAAATGCGGGAAAGGTGAATCCTGGACCCATGTACTGAAGAGCAAGCCGCCCACATCCTCCCCACTTTCCAAAGAGATGCTTTGCAACATGGCTGAGGGGTTTTTCTCCTGCATAAATGACGTAAGATCAGCAGCGACCTCTCAGCCACAGCTTAACCGGGCTGTCTAGAGGCTTGTGGTAGGTTTTTGTATTAGGATACGAATAGCCCATCTGTGGCTACAGGACTTGCCTGCTTCTGAGAAGGGTCCCTTCCTTTACTGGGAGACTCGGACCCCATCCTTCATCCCCCTCTCGTGCCATTTTGGACAGTTGAGGAAGTGAGATTCTTTTCTTAACTTCCGTTCCTGGTGCGTGTCTCTGTTTGCTTTTTTAAATAAAAGCAACAGCCGAACGCCCGGTGTTCGACAGCCACTGGTACATCGGTGGAACTGGCAGACAGGAAGATTCGATTTCTGGGTTTTTTCCCTCCCGAAGATCAGGATAAGAGGCAGCTTCTTTCCAAGCAGTGGAAAGATGGGTGTACTTTTGAGAAAGGGGGGCCTCGAAGCATCTGTTGGGAGGGCTCTGGAGGGGGGCCTTGCGCCCGGCCGATGGTGTTTAAGCTGTGCCTTTAGCAACCCCCGTCTTGCTGCGCTGCCACCCCTGTTTCCAAACTCCGTAATGCCGTTGGGCTTGCCGGGGGGCTAAAGAGGCTTTTCTGCAGTGGCTGCCAAGCTCTTCTGAAAGGGAGAGAGTACAGTCCTCTGCTGTGCACAGGGAGAAGGCTGGCAGGTAAAGAAATCCTTTAAAGGTGTGTACGTGTTGCCGAACGCTTGCACGAACGACGGCTTCGTAGTAAAAACAATTTCGGTTAGGGTAGCCAGCTCGGGAGACAGTCAGCACGTGAAGCTGATGGAGTGAGACCTGGGCAAATGAGCTCTGTGGCCTCGGTCCTGTCCTACCTTGTCAGGTGGTTGTGAGGATAAAGTAAGCGAACAGAGAATTATGTGTACTGCTCTCCATTCTTGAGGAGAACGACTGCGTTCATAATTATTTTAGAGAGACTGGCTTCCTAAAATATATACAGTAGAACCGTGGTATCTGAGGGATTGGTTCCGAGGGCCTCCCTGCGGATGCCGAAAATAGTGGATATAGCAAACCCTGGACAGACAGACAGACAATCTGTTGGTCTCTGGTTCCCTCTAGTGGCCAGTTCTGGTAATACACCTTAGAAATGTGTGTTTCTGGGGGTGTTTATTTAATATTTTCAGGGAGTGGAGAACTGAAGCCACAAGGACTGGTCCCACGGATAGGGGGCAGCCCACTGTACGTGTGTGTATTGAGAGAGAGAGAGAGAGAGAGAATTCCTGTTTTTTCATCGGGTTGTATCTTCTGGCCTTCCCAGGTTTAAATTCCAGGCCGTGATTGACAGCCGCCTGTTCCCCCCGGCGGAAGCAGGCAGCAAAAAGCTCGCCAAGCAAGAAGCCGCCGCGAACGCCATGAGGATCCTGTTACACGAAGCAGAGCACGAGGGGGAAGACGGGGCAGAGCCGGAGAAGCCGATCTACGAAGATAGCTCCCCCAGCAAGGCGGAAATGGTGAGGCCGGTGGCTCAAGGAGCGAGCCGAGCGTCCGCCTTGGCGGCAGGGCCTCCTGCTGCCTTCTGCCCGGGGGGGTATTCTAGACAAGCCCCACTCCAGTCCCACTTGAGGGGGAAAAAGCAGACTCCTCCCCAGAAGGGTTGCTGCTGGCTGCAGAAATGCTGGCGGGAGGGAGGGGGCCTTGGTCTTATTTGGAGAGGTAGATTTTAACTTCTCTCCGTCCTCCTCCCAGCCTGAGCAGAGCGAGGCCGAGCCTTCCTCCACGACGCCGTCGCTAAACTTCTCCGGGAAGAACCCTGTCAGTGCCTTGATGGAGTACGCCCAGAAGTCCGGGAGCGTGTGCGAATTCCAGCTGCTCTCTCAGGAGGGGCCTCCCCACGATCCCAAGTAAGGCTGGGCAGTTTAAAAATGAAAAAATAAAAATTTCCCCCATGGCTCGGTGAGTCTTGACCGGCAGAGGATTCAGGTGCCTTAAGAACCTGCTCTTGGCTTTTTCGTAGGCAGGTGGAAAGAAGTGGGCCGTCCTGGGGATTCCTGGTAGGATTGAAGATGGGGGGAAACCTTGAGGGTTCAGAGGCTCCGTGTTGCACCTGGTTTGGTGGGAAAGGGGTGACGAGAGCGCAGGAGGTTTGCCTCTCCCCTTCCTGACCAGGGACATCATCAACGTGGCGGAGGTGGGGGGTGGGTTGGGTTTCTAACCCTGCCCTTGCGGTGTTGTCCGTAGCCGTTGCCGATGAATCAAGAGTGTGGGAAGCACCCAGTTTTGGACTGCAACTCCCAGAACCTTTTGGGAGCCAGGCCGTTGGCTGTTCTGCCCCGGGGACCGTTCCTGGAGTTGTAGTTTGAAAGGAGAAGCCGCATCTCCGGGGCGCCGCCTCCTGTCTGTGCCTCCTTCGCCTCACGAGAACCCCTTTGGGCTTTGTTTCTAAGACACACCTGGGGGGAAAAACCCAGGCTGAGTCTTCGGCAGCTTCTCCCTGCCCAGTTTTTCTTGGACTGTGGAGCTTTTATTCTTGAAAACTTCATTAAAAACCTGGACACACGGCTGTACACCCAGCTGTGTCGTCTCCCTTGTGTGTGTGTGTGTTCGAACGCTGCGTGTCGCTGTTGTCCCCGTTTAGGTTCAAATACTGTGTGAAAGTGGGAGAGCGCGTCTTCCCCACCGTGGTCTCGAACAGCAAGAAGGGGGCCAAACAGATGGCTGCAGAAGCTGCTATGAAGGGCCTCAGTGGCGACTCCAGCACCGTGACCCCCGAGCAGGTATGGGGAGTCCCCCGTCTCCTCCAGCCACCTTTCCACCCCTGCCAGCCTCATCCCGCCCTCCTGACGAGTCTCTGCCTTTTCTTCTTGCTTTCTCTCTCTCTCCACCTCCCGTGTCACGTGTTGTCTCATTTGTGGCCTCCTTTTCTTTAGACAGAGGCCCCGGAGGACCAGCCTTCGGAGATGTCCGGAATCACAAGTCTGGATGAGACCAAGGCGGCGGGCACGAAAGGTGTCGGCGAGCTGATCAAGTACTTGAACTCGAACCCGGTCAGCGGCCTTCTGGAATACGCCCGGGCGAACGGTTTTGCAGCCGAGTTCAAGATGATCGAACAGACGGGGCCACCCCACGATCCAAAGTGAGTTATCCTCCCGACTGAGGGGCGTTCCTTCTGGCAGATACGCTAGCGGTCCTCGGCCTTCTTGCCAGATACGCCGATTTAGGCTGATGAAATGTTTCTTGTTCTGTGCTGTCAAGTCCGCGCTTGAGTACCTTCCAAATTGTCGTATCCGCAGCTGCCTCGCTCCGCACTTGCAGGCTGAAACCCATGTCTTCCTTTCTGGGTTGGTCTGTCTTGTATTTGTCCTTCCTCTTTTACTGCTGCCTTCAACGCAGCAGATAATTTTTTTTAGTATTCAAAATATTTTCTAGGATGGTATGTTCGTTTGTTCATTGCGTGGGAGCCGGGGTGTGTAAAAAGAAATCGATGTTTAAAAATCAAATTGATTTAAAGCACAATTTAAATGGAGGGGGAGAGAATTAATTTTTTTAAAATGTAATCATTAAAAAAAAATCTGATGTTTAAAAAGAATTAAATGAAATGCAGCCTGGTTGGGCCCGATCCGGGATTTGAGCGACTTCCCGTCGCTATCCTTGGCCTTCCTCTCCACCTCCTCAAGCACAGATCCTCCGCTTGGCTTTCTCTCCTTTCGATAGGTTTGTCTTCCAGGCCAAAGTGGGAGGGCGCTGGTTCCCGCCGGTCACGGCCCACAGCAAGAAGCAGGGGAAGCAGGAGGCGGCGGACGCGGCGCTCCGGGTCCTGATCGGGGAGACGGAGAAAGCCGAGCACACCGAAGGGGCGCCGATCACAGAGGTAGGGCACCTTCCCCGGCCCTCCTTGCGCCTTCCAGAGCTTCTCAGCCGGCAGCGTTCTCGTCTTCACGGGGTCCTTACACCGTTTGCTGTCTCACATTTGTGGTCTTTACCTAGCCTGGGGTCCAGGCACAAAAAAAAAAAATCGGCTTTGTGGTACCCTGGCAGGATGTGTTTTTATCTCCGGGCGCAGCTGTTGGCTTAGCCAGGTTTGTCTTCCGAAACTGGTGGGCAGCTGGCGGCCCTCAGGAGGTGCCCGGACCACGTCGTCCCTTGGCCCTTCTCGCTGGCCGTGCCGGTTAGAGCCGATGTGAACTGCAGACCGCCGGGCCTGGAGAGCCATATTTTGTCCAGCTGTTTTCAAAAGTCTGTAGCGCTCGACCAGAGGTTCCCAACCGAGGCTTCTCAGATGTCCTTGGGTCTACCACAGCCCTAGATTTGCTGGACGAAAACATCCTTTTAGGAAGGGTTTCTTCCATTTCTGCTTCTGCTCCCTTTCCGGGTCCATTACATGTCTGAAAATGAGCATCCTTTTTTTCAAATTTATTCAGGTCTGTGAGTTTTGACGTTAGAGGAAGCATGCAGTAAAGTCTTAACGAGTGCTGTGCGTTCCTAATTTTTGTTTTTGTTTTTTTGCATGTTTTTTTTTTTTTGCTCTTCCTTGTGGCAGCTCCCTGTCAGCGGAAGCACCCTTTTGACGTAAGAGGAAACACGCAGTAAAGTCTAACGAGTGATGTGCGTTCCTGATTTTTTTTTGCTCTTCCTCGTGGCAGCTCCCTGTCAGCGGAAGCACCCTGCATGACCAGATCGCGATGCTCAGCCACCAGCGCTTCAACGCCCTCACCGCCCGCATTCAGCACAGCTTGCTAGGGCGCAAGATCCTGGCTGCCATCATCATGAGGCGCGGGCAGGAAGGCCTCGGGGTGGTGGTGAGCATCGGAACAGGTAAGGGAGGCTGCGTCGTTTCCGCTCAGGACCGTGAAGGTTCCCAGGGCGAGGTCCGGCCTGTGCGATTCCGAGGGTCTCCCTTCGGCTTTAATTTCCACAGTGTCTCTCTGTCTGAGGTTATTTCTTAGAGGTTAAACGCTAGGGAGTGAGATTGTAAATACTTCTAGGATTCAGGATTTGTCTGTGTTGCTGAAGACAACAGCCTTGTTGTCTTCAGTTCAGTAGCAAGGCACGATTAGAGTAGGCTCATTGGAACTTACCGAGGAGTTGGCTCACCAAATGATTAGAGTAGGCTCATTGGATCAATGGAACTTACCGAGGAGTTGGCTCACCAAATTCCCATTGATTCCTTGGGCTTTCTCTGTTTGCATTCTGTGGGAACCGACTTACAAAGTCCCTAATCAGGCTTTCAAGGTGAGCGAGATATTTGAGGAGTGGTTTTACCGGCATTCCTTGGGCTTTCTCTGTTTGCATTTCAAGGTAATCAGGCTTTCAAGGTAAGCGAGATATTTGAGGAGTGGTTTTACCGGTGCCACTCCCCCAGTGAGTTTTCGTGGCTGAGCGGGGATTTGAACCCAGGTCCCTTACGTCCTAGTCTGTCGCTCTGTCCACTAGACCACACTGGCAATAGACGCTGGGCCTTCGCTAGTCAAGACCGATGACTGGATTTCAGCCCGCAAGTGTCATATTTTACACCAAAGTTTTTACGGTCAAGTTGAGCCCTGGCGCTCAGCGACTGGGAAATTAAAAACAGACCCATTGAGAACCGTCACAGTGGGCTGATTATGTACAAGGAGCAGAAGGCGAGTGTTGATCTTTGTAGGGCCTTCGACGATATTGTGGTGTCTTTTTGAGCTGCAGATTGCCAAGCGCCCGTTGGGCACCTCTGATAGCATGGCACTGGTATAGACCGACTCTTGTCACCAGCACCATCTGAGAACTGCAGAAGGGACCCTCTGGATCACCGAGTCAGAGGCCCCGTGGGGGGAATCGAACTCCCAGCCTCTGGCTCCACAGCCAGAGACCCAAACCTCGTGTGACTGTTCAGTGGACTCTGTGGCCCTTGGCTCCAGAAGCAGGAATTCCTTTCAACAAACTTTGCCATCTGGTTAACTGAACTGTAAGAGGTCGCTGCCTTAAAAGCATAAGGTGGACAGCTGGTCTCATTCTCTGCCCCAGTGTGTGCTGTTCAGGAAGCTTTGCTTCTCTTCCGAAGTTGTTTCCTTGCCTATTCCCGCCACCCCGGTTGCCATGAAACTCTTGTCCGTGGTGTTTCCCCCCTCCCCCTTGATGGTTTCCTCTCTCCCTTTTTCTGCCAGGGAATCGCTGCGTGAAAGGAGAGGAGCTGAGCCTGAAGGGGGAGACGGTGAACGACTGCCACGCGGAGATCATTTCCAGGAGGGGCTTCATAAGGTGAGGCCGGGGCTGCCCTGGACGAGGAACGAGAGTTGGCCGACGTGGCTGAGCGAGGAGAATGCTTGGCCCCGCAGTTCGAGCATTCCCAAAGGGCTGGAAAGGCTAGAGACTCTTCTTAATTTCCAGGATAGCTCGGAAGCTTTGCTTTAGAACCTCTGATTTTGACGATCATTAGCACTCAGCGTTTGCACCGGGCTTTCAGAATGTTGAAAGCACTTTGACTGAATCAACTCGGGGCCCTTGAGGGGGGGCCCCCGTATCATCAAAGTTGGATTTTGTCTGCCCCAGCCTCAGATTGTTGGCTGTGCTCTGTGCTAAAGCCTTCTAATGCTGATGTTAAAGAACCGAAACTCTTGCAGGAAGTTAGCGAAAGAAGAAGCTGGAAGGGAGAAACCAAATCTCGAGCTTCGCAGCCCTTGCTCAGCAGATAGTTTTGCTGCCGCCCATGTGATTTAAGCCGCTCTAAGGAAAAATGGTGGGGTAAAAATACTTTAAATGAATACATTCTGCCTCCAAGCAAAGCTGGGCATTTCGTTAGTTGATTTATGTCCTGCTCTTTATGTCCAAGGTGAGGACACAGATTTACACCTTGGTTCACTGAAAAGGGCTGGCTGGATAGCTCAGTAGGTTAGGTCTGCAGAGCCAGAAGGTTGGGAGTTCGATTCCCCCACCCTGTGCCTCTAGGGAGAGAAGAGCCAGCCTGGGTAGCCTTGGGCAAGCTGTACAGTCTCAGGCTTCCCCCGGAAGAAGGGGAGGGCCAACCACTTCTGAGGATTCTCTCCCCTGGGAAACCCTGAAAAAAAGGGTCGCCATAAAGTCCAAATTGATCTAAGGGCTAATGGTCATGGTTATTGTTATTAACTGAAAGGGGTATGTAAAAAGTTAAGCTGGCGAAGCCCAGTTAAACCAACGTTGGCACTAAAATGCATCAAAATTAAAAGCAGTTTGAAAGCCTGTCGGTACCAAAGGATGCCGGGCACCACCCATTGACTACAAGCTCCTCCTTTAGGAACTGCTCAGATTTTAGAAGCTTTCAATTAAAAAAGGACCACAGAAAAGGGGTCGGGGGGGCAGCCTAGCCTTTCCGGATGTGGGATTCCGCAGTCTTGGAGCAGCCACTGAGAAGTCCCTCTTGGCTTCACACACACACACACCGGCCTTTTCCTTCCAGGTTCCTCTACAACGAGCTCATGAAGTACAACCCCTTCTCCCCGGAAGACAGCATCTTTGAGCCCTTGGAAAACGGCAAGATGAAGATCAAAGACGACATCACTTTTCACCTGTACATCAGGTACCGACCGAGTGGCCTCCTGGCCCGTGGGGAGCAGCAGGGGAGAACCCTCGGAAAGGTCAGGGCGGCTAAGCGCTCCGTTTTGCGGGCCGACGTCAAGAGAGCTTGCGGACGCTCAAAGTGGGCTTTCCAAGCGGCTGGGAGAGCCGGGGTGCAGAGTAGAACCCAGAGGAGAGGAGAAATGTGGGTGAAGGGAGGAGAGGAGAGCCAGGGTCCGGCCTTTCGGGTGGTAGCTGCCCCTGACTCTATAAAGAGTCCCCGTTCTCTGCGATCACCAAGCAGCTGCTTCACGTCCAGGCGGGGAATGTGGGCACGCCGTCGTTGGATAGAAACACACACACACCCTCCAGGTGCGTGGCCCACTCGGGCTGTTTCTCCCGGTGAAGCAGAACCTCCGTGTGTGGAAGCATCCATGTCTCTTCTCCCCCCACCTGCTGTTTTCAGAGGCCCCCTGCTGAACGGTGGCTTTTTCTGTCTCGCTCCTTGCCCTCAGCACGGCGCCTTGCGGGGACGGGGCGCTCTTCGACAAATCCTGCAGCGACCAGGCCAGCACCGCCGGGGAGGGCCAGCACCAGCCCCTCTTCGAGAACCCCAAACAGGGGAAGCTGCGCACCAAGGTGGAAAACGGTGAGTGTCGGAGGAGCCAGGCCCCCTCTTAGACACCCCCCCTCCTGTCGGCTCATTTGGGGAAGGTGAGCAAATTCACAACATACCTATAGGCCCGTTCCATCATCCTGGAATCACAAAAGCTCCTTCCTTCCATCCATCCATCCATCTATCACACAACATACCTGTAGGCCCATTCCATCATCCTGGAATCACAAAGGCTCCTTCCTTCCATCCATCCATCCATCCATCTGTCCATTATCCCTTCCTTCCTTCCTTCCTTCCTTCCTTCCTTTCTTTCTTTCTTTCTTTCTTTCTGTCCATTATCTGTTCCTTCCTCCCTCTCTCCAAACTTTGCCTTGATTATTACTTACCTTACAGAAGCAGGGGGTGGGGGTGGGGTTACTGCTACAGCTTGCTTTCTTCCTTGCAACTTGTGGGTCCATATAATTAACAGGCTAATCAGAGTTTGCTGGTGAGCTTAACCTGGACCCTCCACCATCGGAGTCCCCCAGCAAGGGCCAGGCCAGACCCTTGATCTTTCAAATACCCTGTATCTTCAGAATACGTTCTGTCCATTATCTGTTCTTTCCTCCCTCTCTCCAAACTTTGCCTTGATTATTACTTACCTTACAGAAGCAGGGGGTGGGGGTGGGGTTACTGCTACAGCTTGCTTTCTTCCTTGCAACTTGTGGGTCCATATAATTAACAGGCTAATCAGAGTTTGCTGGTGAGCTTAACCTGGACCCTCCACCATCGGAGTCCCCCAGCAAGGGCCTTATCTGTTCTTTCCTCCCTCTCTCCAAACTTTGCCTTGATTATTACTTACCTTACAGAAGCAGGGGGTGGGGGTGGGGTTACTGCTACAGCTTGCTTTCTTCCTTGCAACTTGTGGGTCCATATAATTAACAGGCTAATCAGAGTTTGCTGGTGAGCTTAACCTGGACCCTCCACCATCGGAGTCCCCCAGCAAGGGCCAGGCCAGACCCTTGATCTTTCAAATACCCTGTATCTTCAGAATACGGAGGGAGATTTTTATTTTTTGAGGGGTCTACATGGTCTGTTTGGTGGCAGCTGGGGAGAGAAACCAGCAGGGCGAAAATCTTGGCTCGGCGTCGCCTCGGTAAAGCCACACCTGACCTGTGAAATCTCGTTGGGTGGGTTCTGTTCCCCCCCCCACTCCCCAATAGGAGAAGGCACCATCCCCGTGGAGTCGAGTGACATTGTGCCGACCTGGGATGGGATCCAGCACGGGGAGCGCCTCCGCACCATGTCCTGCAGCGACAAGATCCTGCGCTGGAACGTGCTGGGCCTGCAGGGGGCGATGCTCTCCCACTTCTTGCAGCCGGTTTATCTCCGCTCCGTCACGTTAGGTATGGCGCTGCTGCGCACGGCGGGTGCTCCCCTTTCCTCCTCCCTCCCCCTTCCCAATACTGCATATCCCCCACCCCTCACAATCCGGGCAAGGGTTCAAGACTGTTGTTGTGAAGGTAGTTGGGCTCCCTCCTCCTCTGGGCAGGGCATCTGAAGGCGGTCCCCTCTGCAGCAAGCGAGAAGAGAGATCGGCTGGGTTTTAGAGCCGCCGAGATCAGCCGGAGCCTTCTCCGAGAAAGGGATCATTGCCAACGAACCAGAATGCTTTCAAGGAGGGTTGGGTACTGGGCGGTTCTGCATGTAGCCCCCCCCCAGGATTTTTTTAATCCATCTTCCAAAATACATACCCCAGCCCCCACCAAAAAAACACCCACGTGTATCTCCAGTCCTAGAGGAGAGGCCGTTTGCCATTGGAGTCGTTTATCGGGGACCCCTGCCCCTGGCGGTCCACGAGGGCACAGGATGCTCCCTTGGAGTCGGCCATAGACACATATCTATATATTTGCAAAACAATACTAACAAAGTTTGTGTTTAGAATCATGGCCCGCCGAGTTGAGCCTTGGATGCTGTTTTAACATCCTAGCCCAGCCTCAGCTTGAATGGTGGGATGAGGGTGGCCCGTTTTTTTCCTCTTCCAGGGTTGCTGGATCAGCCAGGTTGCTTTCCCTTTTAGTGCCTGTGATATTCCATCTCTCTCTCTTTCTTTCTCTCTCTCTCTCTCTCTCTCTCTGTGTATTTGTTACTCCTGTATCTGTTACTCCCCCCCCTTTTTTTAGGCTACTTGTACAGCCAAGGACACTTGACTCGTGCCATCTGTTGCCGCATGTCCAGAGAGGGCAGCACATTCCAGTCGGGACTCCCCACGCCCTATTTTGTCAACCACCCCGAGGTACGGCTGTCATTTGCCCCCCCCCTCCCCGGGCCCTCTTCCCCTCTCGGTGGCGAGGACCGTAACCCGCACCGTTCCTGGCCTGGAGGCTGGCGGGAACCAAGGACCGAGCATCCCTGGAAATGGGCTCCAGGGCAGGCAAGGGGTGGCGAGTGAAATATTCTGAGTATTGTATCCTGGAAATCTAAGCCTGGCCGTGATGATTCCCCCCCACTGGGCCTGGACTGGAAGATCTCGAGGGTCTCTTCCATCTCGGCAGTTCTAGGATTATAGGAGAGCCTCAGTGGTTTAGGGCATCCGGCTATGGAGCCAGAGGCTGGGGGGTTCGATTTTCCCCACTGTCCCTCCTGGACAAAGGCTGGACTCCGCGATCCGCAGGGTCCCTTCAGTACTAAGAGGATGGTGGTGGTGATTAACACACGGCAGTTCATGGTTTCTCCGGGTGGGCGATGACTCCCCCGTTTCACCTTCCCCTGTTGCGCACGCCCTGCTGTTGAGCAGGCGATGGGCTGAGTCTCCCCCCCACCCCACCCCTGCCACAGGTCGGTCGGGTCAGCGTCTACGACTCTGCCAGGCAGACGGGCAAGACGAAGGAGTCCAGCGTAAACTGGTGCCTCCCGGACGACGCCGACGTGGAAGTCCTGGACGGCACGAAGGGGAAAGTCGATGGGTAAGCAGGGGGTGGCGGGGTTTCTGTGCAGACCCTGCGGGTTCTGGAGAATGGGTGGGGCTTGGTGGCAAACAAGACGTGAGAGATACCCTTAAGCCGAGTGGGAAGTCCAAGCAGCTGGCCATTAAATCCCGTGCTTGGAACCTCACGTCCCCTTTCCCTGCAGCCCGGCTCGCCTCCTTCCTCTTTGCCCTTGAAGGGCTGAGCTTCAGCCTCGGTGATTTTAAAGCCAAGCCTGCCATTCCTAGCGCTTAAAGTACTCTTTGGGCCATTTACAATTTAATTCTGCAGGTCTGCACATTGGCCCAGCAAGCTGGGCAACTCCGTTGATGGATCTCAGGAGGATGGAAGGCGGAGTGAACCTCCGTCCAGCGACCTGGGATGGAGTCCCAGGTCGTGAGCAGAGTCTTGCCTGCGGGACTGCAGTTTAACCTCTGTGCCACGAGGCTCTGTATATCGCTGAACATTTATAATAATTGCATATTCCCTTCTCTCTTCACCCCCACCCTCGGCCTCTGCTCAGACCAAAGTTGGAGGTCTCGCGGGTCTCCAAGAGGAACCTCTTCGCCCTTTTCCAGCTCCTCTGTGCCAAGATGGACCGCAAGGACCTGCAAAAGTTCACCGTCTACGCGGAGGCCAAGGAGGCGGCCGTCACGTACCAGATCGCCAAGCGGCAGTTCTTCTGGGCGTTGCAGGAGATGGGCTACGGCAATTGGATTTGCAAACCTCAGGAGGAGAAGAGCTTTGTTTTGTCCGACGTCTAGAAAGCTGTGCATTTTTGTCTCTCTCTCTCTCTCTTTCTCTCTCTGTCTTTATTTTTTTTTCCTTCAAGGCAGGAGAAAGGGATCTAGAAAGTTGTGCATTTTGATCTCTCTCTTTCTCTCTCTCTCTTTATTTTTTTTCCTTCAAGGCAGGAGAAAGGGAGAGGGTTTTTTTAATTATTATTATTTTTTGTGTTATTTTATTTTTTTTAACAGAAGCAAGAATGTTGACTTAGGATCTTGGTTTTTATTTTTTACTCCCTGCTGTTAAAACCACCCACCTCCCTTTTCAGCTTGTGCATTTTGATCTCTCTCTTTCTCTCTCTCTCTTTATTTTTTTTCCTTCAAGGCAGGAGAAAGGGAGAGGGTTTTTTTAATTATTATTATTTTTTGTGTTATTTTATTTTTTTTAACAGAAGCAAGAATGTTGACTTAGGATCTTGGTTTTTATTTTTTACTCCCTGCTGTTAAAACCACCCACCTCCCTTTTCAGCAAACATGAGCTGAGCGTGCGCAAGAGAGAGAGAGAGAGAGAGAGAAAGAAAGAAAGAAAGAAAGAAAGAAAGGAAAGGAAAGGAAAGGAAAGGAAAGATCCACCAGCATCAGTGTGTGTCTGTGAGCCCTCTCCTCTTTCAGTCACTCACCCACAGGCTACGTGCTTCCCATCTTCCACCTCTTGGCTTTTCCCAAAAACCCATGATTTGAAACCACTTTTCAAGCTGTGAATCAGTGCATCAGTTAAATGCACGCACACACACACACATATATATATATGTTTTCTTCTGCGGTAAGTTTTGTTTCTCCCTTGGACCGTCGTGGTGGAGTTCCCGGGGAGTGTCTTCTTCCTAAGCCCAAACTTTTTTTTTTTCGCTTTGGGTCCTCCTGGACATCTCAAGGAACTCTTGGTCAATAGTTCCTCCAAAGCCCACGGGGGGGTCTTCCTTTCCAGACCCACGGAAGCTGTGGGGCCAGTGTCATCCTCAAGCAAATACCCAGCCTTCCTCTCAACCATCCAGGCTTCTTGTGGTTTTAGTTCTGCGCAGACAAAGATGGAGCCGTTCCTTATACCTTCCCTGTCACCTTGCCCAGCTGTTTTGCTTTCTGCCTTCTCTCCCGAGCTCCAGAGCATCTGGTGGCAGGGAAGGCCAGGGGGTTTAAAATATATGAATATATTTTAGCCCAGTGGCCCTTTTCTTCTCAGCTTGATTGGCTGAGCTGATGGGTGTAAATGCAGTCTTTGTGGATCTGCACCCCTCATTAATCTCCTCCCTACCCATCATAGGTTTTACTGGGCGTCCCTGTAAAGGCAGGCCCCTTGAGGTCAGTGGAAACGCCTCCTGTCAGGCAACAGAGAAAAATCTCCAGGGGAAAAGTGTCTTAAGGTGCCATGGGTTGGAATGACCCTCTTTGCTCTTGGCACGGGGTTAATGGGTATGAATTTGGCCTCCGTCAGCTGCTTCCAAAAGAGTAAAGCGACTTTTCCTCCCCCATGGTGTTTGTGGGTTTTTCGGGCTCTTTGGCCGTGTTCTGAAGGTTGTTCTTCCTGACGTTTCGCTAGTCTCTGTGGCCGGCATCTTCAAAGGACAGGAGACGGAACTCTGTCTGTGCTCTGGTGTAGTTTGTGGGATAGTAACCCACAACAACCATTAGATCCCGGCCGTGAAAGCCTTCGCGAATACATTTTCCTCCCCCAGTTTGTGGCTTTTGCTAGTTCTTGAGTCGTATCTCCTACCGGCAAAGCCACGAACCGGCAGGCAGGTTATAATTTCAGTGATAAGATTCACCGCGGAAAGCATCCAAACTTGGGGGAGCGGTCGGATAGTGTCGGTGTGGTGGAATATTTTTTCTGACGCAGGGGAACTTGTGTGGGGCGAGTCCAGGCTTTTGCTAGTGAGCCCTTTCGAAGCGGGACCCGAGGGTGAGATGGTGAAACTAGGCGCTATTTTTCTAAATCCTTGTTCTGATGGGAGGTGAGGTTCAGTTTGGCCGAACCCCTTTCTTAACGCAGACGCACATGTGCGTGCATTGCGAAGGATGTCTTTCCCTGTGTGTGGAAACCCAGCCTGCCCGCAAGAATGTTTTATGCTGCTTTCTCCAAACTTAAACAGTGAAAAGAAGGGTCATTTTGCAAGGGGCTTTTGAAAACCTCAAGCCTCTCCTTTCTTCCCTGAAGCCTGCCTTTAAAAAAAACCAACTCTTTTCTCCCCCCCCCCTTCCAAGATGGCACAAAAACACGCTTGATCTTTTAAGTTAATCTGTGGGATCCTTTCTCCGACAATGTGCCGAGCCTCCTTTTCTCACCTGCCCGACCCATTAAGGACGGCTGTGTGTGTGTGTGTTTTGTGCGGTTTTTTTTTAAAAGAAAAGGTGTTGCAGGCCAGCCAGACGCTGGGCTCCGGATTCACCCGCTTCCCCTTCGATAGGCATGTCGCGGGGAGAGGCATTAAATCGAGGAGTGGGGGGGGGGAGCATCTCTTACGCAAACACTATCAAATCCGAAAGGCGATTCACCCGCTTCCCCTTCGATAGGCATGTCGCGGGGAGAGGCATTAAATCGAGGAGTGGGGGGGGGGAGCATCTCTTACGCAAACACTCTCAAATCCGAAAGGCCAGCCACCACCTTTGTCTCGCAGAGTCCGGCTCTCCTCCTTTCCTCCCAAAGACTCTTAGCGAGCAGATTAAAAACAAAACAAGGTTGTAAATTTATTCACGGTAAACTCTTAAATTTCCCTCTCTTCTCTGAGACCACTGCTAATCATTGTCATTCAGGTTTATTTCTCCTTCCCCATGTCATCTTTTTTTTTAAAAAAAAATAATTCTGCTTTTAATTAGATGGCTCTTGTTTGAGAACTCCAGACATCACATTCCGCCTGAAATAATAAAAACATTTTTTTTTCTGTACCTTTTCTCTGGTGTTGCAGAGGGGGGAGTTTTGACTGCGCATGACGGGGAGAGAAGGGGCGAAAGCAGACAGTGTTGTTCTTAATTCCTCTATAAACGAAAGCTTTTTTTTTTTTGGTGAAGGGTCTCTTCAGTTTTGAAGAAATGCTGTTCCCAGCTTAGAATCGGTGGGGTTGCAGACGTAGGAAAGTAAGATGAAAGGACGATGCTGGTCCGTCAGAGCCAGCAGTGGTGAGGGGAGATACGACGGCACTTTTTCAAATCCTTGTAACGAGAGAGGGGCAGGATCTGATCTCGGTCCCCCCCCCAGAGTGCAGGACCCACCCCAATGGACTCAAGCAACAAGAAGCCGGATTTCAGCTGAAGATCAGGAAAAACTTCTTAACTGTTAGAAGCAGTACGACAATGGAGTCCATGACCTCGGGATGGGGTGAGCGCTCCAACGCCAGAGGCCTTCGGTGGACCTCCCTTAAGCAGGGGGTGGACTTGATGGCCTTGTAGGTCCCCTTCCAACTCAGTTCTGTGATGCTCATTTCCCAAGGTTCCTGTGAAGGAAAACAGCTTTTTTTGGGGGGGGGGGTAGCTTGGGCTGTAGAGTTTGGAAGAAGCTCATTAAAACTAGCCTAGTTATGTGAGTAACACAGTGGTGCATTTCAAACGTCAAGGAAGAGGCAGGATCACGGGGCTGAAATCCTGATGGTTTGGTGTAAGTAAAGACAACTCTTTTTGTCTGTTCCTTGCCTGGAAATGAAAAAGTCCCTGCGGTGAATGTGGAAGGGCGTCTCCCCCCCCCCAATTCCTCAATGGTAGTGAGGGGGGACTCCTTGTTTGATGATGCCCCTCCTTAGGCTGAGGACAGACCTCATGGTTTTACGCCACTTCCCCTTTTAAAGTTGGGGAAAGCCCCTTTCAGCCAAGGTTGGGACTTCCCCTTGACCTTCGGGCCCGAAGTTTTAGCCACCAAGGTGTCAGGGTTTGAACCCGGGACTCTTCCGCCCGCCCACCAGAAACGCCAGCCCTGACCTTCGATTTAGGGAAGGCGAAGAGGCCCATAAAGAGCAAGAGTTACAGCCAGGGTGTTTATCCCGAAGCGTTCTGCGTGTCGTTCCAGAACTATTCCACTCTTTTCTTCTCCCAAAGTATAATACATTCATAATTCTCAGTGAATGACAAGTTATAAAGAAACATAAGGAGTCTACGGATTGTCTCTTATCGGGAACGGACAACTTAGGTTCCAGTTGTGACAAGTTTTTTTTTTAATTTTAACCACCCGGAGGGGGGCTTTTGTA